TCACATCTTTGTAAGGGAGAGAGAAAAATGAAATCCTGATTAGGGTTTTGTTTTTTGTGACTTGAGAAAACGCAAGTCTTGAAAAACTGCAAGTCACTTCTGGTGTGTGAGAATTGGCCATCTGCCAGGATGTTGCCCAGGGAAGGCCTGGATGCTTTGCGTTTTACCATCCTTATGGGAGGCTTCTCTCATGTCCCTGCATGGGAAGCTGGAGCTAACAGAGGGAGCTCATCAAAACTCTCCCGAGATTTGAAGACACAAGGAGTTAACCCATTGTGCCACCAGGGGCTCCCCTGATTAGGGTGATGTCTACTGTAATGGTACACATTCCAACGTCAGAGGAATTTCTCTTTTCCTTCCTAACCACTTCCCATCAAACATTGCATTGCCATTCAGAGTTTCCCCTGACTTCTTTTCCAGTTTTACAGTTGCTAGAACTCCCCAGCAGCCTCTCCGTGATATGTATTTCTTCTATTTCTGCAATACAAAACTCAAATCTGAGCATCTGGTGTAACAGATCTCAATGTGTGTATGTGTGTGTGCATGTGTATGCTTGCCTTCGAGTCACCTGTCAAGTTATGGCAACCCCATGAATTTCATAGTGTTTTCTTAGGCGAGGAGGTATTTTTTTCCAGTTCCTTCCTCTGAAATATAGCCCACAGCACCCTGTATTCCTTGGCAGTCTCACATCTGTATTTATATTCACATGTATGTACATATCTCTATGTATGTGTGTGTATAGAAATGGACACAGAGTTTGTAGAGGAGTAAGACCTGCTGTGTCCATTGGAACTTAATTCCAGGCAAGTGTGCACTGGAATGCAGTTTCACAACACAATTCTATACCTGTCTTGAAAGAAGTAGGTTACACTGATTTCAGTGCAACCTGTTCCCAGGTAAATAGAGTAATATTTTTGCCTGAAACCCTTTTAGATTACGGATTTTATTCAATTAGAATGCAGGTTTGAAAATATTAATAGAAATACCTATAGAAAGCATGAGTGGCAAGTTACCACACTCCCAGAAGGATTCTCCGCACAGAGCTCTTTTGGGGAATGCCCTTGACGCAGTGCTTTCTGAAATTCCTGAAAACATCACCTGAAACAGAACAAATGCCTGTTTTTTCCTTCTTCAAAGCTATTGCCTTATTCAAATGCAAATGGTCAAAGCTCATCAAATTAATTGATGAAGTTTTGTTTAATTGGGTGATGGCACAAACATTTGGGGATTAGGAGAAAAATTCTGGAGAATGCAAACTTAAAGAAGGCTTGGCCAGAGGCTTGCTTGCTTGCTTTCTTTTCCTTGATAATTAAAAAAACAAAGAAACTCTATCCTGTTTTTGGTTAAGTTTGTATCTTTTTCTTCAAAGTCGCAGATTGCCTTCTGGACTCTCCAAGATGAAAGAGAGAATGCCTGCCTCCTGGCAATCCTAACCCCATACCTGAATCTTCATTCCAGTTGTGGATTCTCCTGTTACAAAGGAGGGAAGGGGGTCAAGAGGTCTGTGAAGTGGAGAGCAGGGCAGACATTTCTTTCAACTTTATTAATTTCGATCCTAATCTTCTTCTACCACCCTGCTCCTGTTCCAGAGAATAAGGAGGGAAAATGTGTTGAAGAAGATGGTGATCTTGGCTGACCTTCGAATCAGGAAAATCATTTTTAGCCTTTTTCAGCTATTCTCCTCCAAATTAATCCGTTAGTGATGGTCTAAGAAAAAAGGTGTCAGGGGGAAGACCACAACACAGCTGTAAAAATATCCAAGCAAAAATAAAATAATTATTGTAGCCATACTACTTTTAGCCACCTTTAAAACACATTTGATAAACAGTGCAAGCTGACTTTCTAGCAGCTTGCTGTTTTCAATTTCCTAATTACCTTCCCTCATGAATGGGTCTGTTCCAGGTTTGCTTTCAAGCCCTGAATGCAACACTTTTACTCTCTTTTGTCCTCAAGAGCATCCCGATAGAAATGTAACCACTGATGCTATTCCTGGCATAGAGACAAGGTGATAGATTGCAAAACTATCACATGCTAAAGTTGTCCAGGTCATTGTTCCAGGCGCATGAGCAGGAGGGAGGAGAGTTCAGACCAACCTGCCTATTGCAGAGACTTCATGTTGGGGTTGAAAAAACATTTATGCTTGGCCTCCACAAGAGAAGTCTTTGTCACTTTGAGCTGAGCTTCTTATGGCCTTTTCACACTATACATTGCCCGATTTCATCTTCACTGCCAAGCAGCATCTACGAACCCTTGCGATTTGCCATTTGGGGAGGTGCATTTCAAATTCCCAGCCAAAGATCTCTTCTTTTGCTTCATTGAACTAAGTAAAGGTAAAGGTTTCCCCTGACATTGAGTCCTGTCATACCCAACTCTGGGGTGTGGTGCTCATCTCCATTTCTAAGCCAAAGAGCCAGCGTTGTCCATAAACACCTCCAAGGTCATGTGGCCGGCATGACTGCATGGAGTGCTGTTACCTTCCTGCCGGAGCGGTACCTATTGATCTACTCACATTTGCATGTTTTCGAACTGCTAGGTTGGCACAGCTGGGGCTAGCTGCGGAAGCTCACGCTGCTCCCCGGATTCAAACCTGTAACCTTTTGATCAACAAGCTCAGCAGCTCAGCGGTTTAACCCACTGTACCACTGGGGGCTCCCTTGAACTACAAACCCCAAAATAGGGTGGAATGCAAACATAGCAATTGAAGTGGAATATAGTTCCGCTCTAAGTCCCCTTTGGGGCGAGAAGGGCAGGGTATAAATATAATAAATAAATACATAAACAAACAAATAAATAAACAGCATAATGTAAAAAAGGGGCCCTGGTGTAGTAGATAATGGCAGCCATTCATTTATATGTGAGAGATTAGAAGGAATAGAGAGATTGCATGATACAATGGTTAGAGTTTTGTTCTGGGACTGAGTAAGCTTAATTTCAAATCCCGATTTGACCACCCAAATTCTTTTTTTTTTTTGAAATAATTTTTATTAAGGTATTTATCTAATACAACGAAAGAGGGAGAACATTTGAAGAAGATAGCACAGTAGGAAAGAATATATAGAGAAAAAAAGAGAGAGAAAGAAAAAAACAAAAAAAACAAAAAATACAAAAAATACAAAAAAATTACAAAAAATACAGAAAAATTCAAAAACATACAGAAATCCATATAAAAAAAAGATAAAATAGTTTGACTTCCATCTCCTCGTCGGGTGTTGTGTGTCTCCAATAATGTTACTGTTGCTTTCCCTAAATTGTCTCTTATTTACCTTCTTTCTTCTTTCTCGTACTTATCAAAAAGTGTCCAATCTGTCTTCTTTATTGGGTTTCCAGTATTTTTTTTCAAAAGAAAAGTCAATTCGTCCATCTCCCTTATTTCTCTAATTTTCCTTAACCATTCCTCCTTAGTAGGGATACTTTCCTGTTTCCAAACCTTTGCTAATACAATTCTCGCTGCCGTCGTCATATAAGTGAAAAGTTTGTCCTCATTTTCCTGTAGTTGTATTTCCAAGTCAGTAAAGCCCAGTAAATAATATTCAGGTTTCTTCTTAAATACTCTTTTCAAAAATTTTTGTAACTCTTCATGTATCATAGCCCAATATTTCACTATTTCTTTGCATGTCCACCACATATGGTAAAAAGTACCTATCTGTTGACAGCCTTTCCAACATTTGTCAGAAGACTTTTTGTTTATTAAAGATAATTTCTTAGGAGTGGTATACCATCTGTGGAACATTTTTACCCAATTTTCCTTTAAGTCGGTTGCATATACATATTTTAACTTCTTGTTCCACATCTGTTCCCACTCTTTGAATTGAATAGGTCTTCTTATGTTTTCTGCCCACTTTATCATACATGGTTTAACTTGTTCACCTTCCGTTAGCCACGTCAGAAGTGTATTGTAAATAACTGAGATAACTTTTTTCTTTACCTTCAAAATTTTGTCCCAGGTTGATCCCTCCCAGGCAAAACCTATTTTATTATCTTGTTTAATGTAATCTTTCATTTGTAAATAATGTAGCCATGTAATATTCTTATTTTTTCCCTTTAATTGCTCATAAGTCTTAATCTCCCCTGTATTCTCTTGTGACCACCCAAATTCTGACTTCAGGCCATTCACTATCTCTAAGCCTAACCTACCTTGTTGTGATGATAAAATAGAGAAGACAACCATATATGGCACCATGAACCCCTTAGAAGTGTAACTGTTTCAAATAAGTAAGTAATTAATGAATTTATTAATACCTCCAGAATACTACTAAGAGGGGATATTTCCTAGCAATGTTGAGGTTACACCAAGAGTGGCTGATCAAAAATCAAACATTCACCTTCAAAACATAACAGGGATTGGAGCTTATTCCTCCTTTTTGACATCTTAAACTCCATATAGTATTGCCAGGATGACTCACAGCTTGGTCACATATTTTAAATTACAAGCAGTCAGCTAACTGATGCTTTGACTTGAGCTGAACTATAAGTTTCTGTTACTATTATCATTTTGTTGGACTTTAGAATGTTCCGTTACTGCAATATATTTTTTTTTGGGTCAGTCTTGTGAGATACACATAAAGAAATAGTCCTGTTTTCCAACTGAGAGAAAGATTTCAATTAACATTCCCAAGGCTATCAGAGTCATGACTGGAGGGAGATTTGGCTCCAGGTTCTTCTGAGGGGTTGCACCAGCTTTCTATCATGCCTGCATCATTGAGCCAAAGGTGGTACTATGATTATTTCATGGTACTCATTGCCACAAAATCCTCAGAAATTACTGTAAAATATTCTGGTTGCGGATGACACGATAAATAAATACTGTAACAATCCACTGTCCACTGGCCTAGAAACGCATGTATGTCCTACTTTGTTGAAAAAGTTTGAATATTAATGTATTTTAAAAATCATGAAGGATGTGAAGCATTTTAAATGAGGATGAAATCGGGCTTGAAGTTTATTTGCGTTGGGCAGCATTTCTCAGCCGATGTTTGTTTAGTGGCCCAAAAACATTGCTTCTGTGTTCTTCTTGAGCCTTTGAAGAACCAAATGTGTGGCAAATCTCCCCACCCCTCAGTCCTCACTGCCTTTTTTTTTCCCCAACCAATTTCGATGTTAATTCCTCATCATTGTTTGCAGGGACCTCTGCTGAGAGCAGTTACGGAGGCTAATTTTTCCATCTGTCCTGCTTGGGCCGATGACTGGGAAAAGCGTGGCTGCTGTTACCTCCTTTAGGGCACTGATCAGCCGAGCGTTAAGCTTTTAATTGAGGTGTAAGTGTATCGGCTCAAGGGGGAGGCAGTGGCCGGCAGTGTAGTGGGGGCTGGCCCAGCAGTTGCATGGCATACGGTTTCAAGAGAAGCCAAAAACAGAGAGGAAAAGGGAGAGCTCTTTTGCGTGTAGTGGTGTGTTTTGGCAAAGGCAAAGAAGTGGAGAGGCGCCAGCTCCATCGCAATGCTTCTAGGTGAGTGCCGGGCAACTTTCTTTCTCTGCCTCCTGCTTCCCTGCACCTTGGATTGAACACTATATGCTTCTTTCTCTCCCCCTTTTCCTTACCAATGGATGAGGAGCAGCAAGCATCACTTTTATGTAGCCTTTCCCCTTCTCCTGTTTATTTGAGTGTCTGATGTTGAGGCTTCAGCAGTGCAAGGAAGCATAGGCGTCATCACCACTATGCCACTTTGCCAAAGGAGTGACTGAATCGATGGTGTTTTGTGCTGGCAAAATCACACGGAGTGTTCTTCCTGAAGAGTCTGTACAGTTCGCATCCTGTAGACAGAGGGTGAAATCAAAAAGGGTTTTTTTTCCCAGCCACCTGCAGAGAGAAAGAGGAAGCAAAAGCCTTTCTGTAATTCCCGAAACCAGGATGCTGGATGTAGTTAAAATCTGCGGCTAAGTGCCTTTCCCAGCTGCGAAGCATCCCGGGCAGACCTGAAAAGTGCTTCAGCTGTCATTAGCAAGGTGTAGCATCTTTTCCTGAACTGTTTGGCAAAGTCTAGGGATTGTTTATTCCTCGATCCCTCTACCCCACAACCCCTAACTGGTATGTAATTTGTGCAGTCGCGTTTTACACATTTGAGGGCAAACCCAAGTTGACTTTTCGGCTGGATGAAGCTGTCTCACATCAGTTTCGTGAAGGTTCCAGCATCGCTTTCGATGGCAGATTGCCAGAGCCTTTAAAAACCTTCCATCAAGGCATTGATTCCAGGGTGAAATGACGTTTAATCCAAGTGCAGGTGAGAAAATTTGCAAGATCTATTCAGCATGCTCAGCTCCCCTGAAAAAGTCAACTTGTGATTTTGATGGGTAAGACTGTGGGGTGCTTGCAGTGACCTAACTAGCTTTGGCGGCACCTTGGATACTGTCTTGAGTGTCCGTTTTATACACTCCTCTGATTCTCCTTTCCTCTCTTTTTGCCTCCCCCCCCCCACCGCCTTATCTCTTTTCCCTTTCCATTACTTCCCCGCTGCAATAATTTCCTTCCCCCTTTTTTTAGGCCTGAAGCAAATGAACATTGTGGTAATAGACTGCAAAATTTTAAACAATGAAGTGGGTGGGAAAACGTATTTATATTGCAAAATATATGTGAAATCACTGTAAAAGAATTCAAATTTTCAGTCAAAAACTTGTTTGTTTTTTTGTTTTGTTTTTTGAGTTTATTGTAAATTGAAATAAGATAAAAGGCTTGTAATCATTCTGGCTACATTTAGAAATTAAGATTTTTTTAAAGTGAGAAAGAGTTCAGGTTTTTTTTTCTATTTGGGGGAGGGGAGTATTTAGTTAGGTGAGAAACGTTTGGTTTATTTGACACCTGCCAAAATGATTCTAGGGGAGGAAAGACTGGAAATGTCGTTCTTTTATGCACCAAAATTTAGCAAGATCACATTGAATCGAAGTAGATTTGATGAAAATGCCCTTCAGTGAAAAAACACATTCCACCCAATCTCGTCTTTTCAGGTCTTGATTACAAGTAGCGTTCAAAGTGGTGGGGAATGGTGGAAATGGGCTTTGTTTGACTAGCAGAGATTGTCGCCCTGGCGAGGAAATCAAAACGAAGGCAGGCAACGCCATTTATTTATTTGTTTATTTATTTATTTGATGGAGTCCTTCGCCATCATTCAAGACTGCGGCATCTTCTGTGCCCGCCCCCCCTTTTCTGCAGCTGGGCAGTTGTACCTTGGTGATGATGATTGCAATTATTTATTGATTATTTGCCCTGAGATGGAATGCAGGTTTGCAGCAGTTTGTGTATGTGTGTCTTTGTACGCATGCGCATAGTGAAAATCCAGAAGGAAATCAAGCACGCAAAGGCATGTATGAGATCTTGATCTCAGTTTTAGATTTCGTTGCATTCTGCAGCCAAATTGGACTGACTGATAAAACACCTTTTAGGAAACAGAGGTGTGTGCCCCTCTGTTCCCCTATATTGTTGCTGGTGGAGATATTTGGTTGAGTTTTTATCACCTTGAGTATTCACTGGTGTGAATGGTGTCTTTTTAGGGTATGGAATTTCAGACCATTGCCTTGCTTGCTATTGTTGTGATGGTTTGCTAGTCTTCTTGGGAGACAATTGCCTTTTGGAGCAGCATGCATTGTATGTTAGGAAAATCAAAATGGTCTATTTTTCTGCCACAGTTCTCTCATTGAATCTTCTCCTTTTCTGCCATTAGTACTGCCCTTTGCCCAATACTGTCCAGTGGTGTGTTTTTGTAAATCAAAGGAAGTCAAATATCATTTTCATGCAGCCTACATTTCACTGGCAGCAGCATCGTATCTTCGCTGTCTCACATGGGTCGCTTTAATTTTTTGAATAATCTAAATTGTAATCTGTGCCGCTCATCATTGTCTCACACAAAACAGCTTTTCCTCAAATTTCTGGAACGTGTAGCCATTAGCAGAGATAATATATATTTGTCAGTTGCATTTGGTATGGCTTTCTCTTTTGTCCCTTTGCTGTAACACAAGCGTGACACGACAAAAAAACCAAATATCTTAAATCTTTCCATTAAGATAAAAAAGAAAAAAATAAACACTGTGAAGATAGGTCAAAATAAAATTTAAAACCAGTGTTTAAATGACAAGGACATGTATTAGATTCTTTGGGAGGGGAAAATATTTGTGTGAAGGTCACAAAGAACGTCTCTTGTCTGCAAAAGATACATTTTGTGTTGAGGGTCGGTGTTCATTTTAAGGAAATCTCATGCTGGGATTATATATATAAAAACGGAAACACGATGCTACTTTGTTTTTGTTTTTTTTTAAAAACTGGGAAATTGTTTTGGGATCCTTCCCTTCCATCTAATGAACGCAGTCTATGAATAATACATTTTTTTCACACATAGATCTGCTGTATTCAAATACAAAATGAGGGCATTATCCCTAAAACAATAATTCTGCCTCCCACCATGAAAATTTCTATCAATTTTCAATTTTATACCATTGCAAAGACTGAGTTGTTGAAAGATTTTCACACATAGAACTCTCTTTTTTGTTATTTATGTTCCTTTGATATCTTTGCTTTGGATATCAATACAATATTTTGAAATGTTCAGCAGAAATTTTATGTAACTGTAATGTAGAAATTTAGGGACTGGATGAAATTCAATTTTTTTTTACTAGGAGGACGATGCTTTTACACACATACATCACAATAGCTGTACATATAAGAAGAGGAAGCTTATTTTATATGGACCACAACTTGTCCTCCAAGGATGTATCTAATGTTATGTATTTAGTAATCTGTTTTGTGGATCAAACCCTTGTATTCATAACATGGCCTCAAACACTAGTAGGTTGTAATATGTTAGTACAGTAGTGACTAAAAAAATGAACATAGGCTGGCACATATTGCTGAGAAATATCCTGATGCCATTGTGTCATAGATCTCCAATTAGAATCATGCTCCTTAATGCAAATAGCTTATCTCAAAAGCTATGGAAACAGCAGCATAAAACCACCAACAAAACTATACACCATGTGTTCTGTGACATTGTTCAATGGATTAAAATAAAATGTGTAATAAATAGAGGAAAAGAACAGTTGTGAGGAGGGCGAGGCGGGTGGGTTGAGTCCTTAATCAGGTTGAGATACCCAAGCACCAGTATCTGTGATAAATCCCACTGGGTATAATAGCAAGGTTGTGATCTAGAGATATGGATCGAGAAAGGGGGAGAGAGATAAAGTCACTAGATAAAATGCATTTCTTAAAATAATGTATATTTTTTAAAAGAAAGAATTTCCCTTCTCAGCAGGATAATGAGGAAAGTGTATAGTTCAGTATCTACAAATAAAATATTCATATTAGACACAGTCAAGTGGGTCTGTAAATACTAAAAGAAAACGTTTCCTTGTATATAGCCAGATAAATGTCTACCAATACCAAATTAACTGGGTTATATTGCAGAAATGTGAAAGACCCAAGCAAACAAAATTTTCAAGAATCAAGCTGCCTTCTTGGTGTGTGAGTTATGGGAGTTTTTGGGGTCACCTCTATCAGCTCTGGCTTTACGTGAGCAAAAGGCTTTAATGGAAGGAAGGGTGGCTGTTGTTTGGAGGTCACTTGGAAAAGGCTTGGGATAGGGAGCTACAATTGGGGACAGGAATCAGAGCCAAAACCATGTTAGAGATTGGACAGATGGCTTTTTTTTTCAATTACAGATTCTTCCCATATTCTTCTATCACTAAGGTCTGACATAGTCCAAATAAGTAACGTTTCCAAGTTCTGGATGTAGCTTGTGCAACTACATGTCTATTAAAGCTTTGTTCTAGGCCATTCTCAAGGGACTGAACCCACAGGAGAGAATGTGTGGGGCACAACAGGATTTAGTGGGAGAAGAGGGTAGGAAAGCCGTATATTCAATCCACTTAAAGCTTTTGGATACAGTACAGTTTCCTATTGCAATGTCTCAAGTATTAGGATACATAAACTTTAACGAGCATCCATTTCTTCTCACGCCTATGTGTTGTACTCATAACATAATTGCCTGCTTTATCAAACAATATCAATATTATTATTATCCATTTCAGAGGTGTAGCTATATTGGTCTGTTGTAAGTGAAACAGAAAGTGTGTGGCATGTAAGGTTTACAGATTCATTACAGAATGCCCTTTCATGCACTATTAAATTCTTTTTTTAAAACCCTCCCTATGTTAATAATTTGGGCAATCATAAAATCATATTTTTTTAGCTGGAAAGCAATACACACACACACACATTTATATATTTATACATACACACATGCACATACATATATGCACACACACAGACACAACACACATGCACATACACACATATATATTTATATATGCATATATATATATATATATATATACACACACACACACACACACACACACACACACACACACAAAATGGGAAGCCTTCAGGTTTTATGTTTCTTTAATGCTTTAGATGAAAAATCTGAGAGAAGGACTCAGATTTTATGATTCTGTGATTAATAAGAATATTGGAATTTTCTGCAGTTGAATCCCAACCGGTTGTTACGCAAGCTTGCTCAGAAGTAAATCTCACAGAATTCATTTTGAATTTTTCTCAAGTAACTGTATGCACAGAATTGCCAGCTAACTGTCATTGTTTGAGTTCAATTAGACTTATTCGTAGATAAGTGTGCATATGATTATAGCCCAAATCTCTTCCATTCATTGTCATACGATTTGATTAAAGTCGCTACAGAACTTTTTCTTTGTCTACATATTTTGATGGTAATGTAAAAGCAGTCTTGATTCCTGCTTGTCTTCTTACAAGTTTAATCACAAAACTAATCCATTTCTTCCAAGATGATCAACACTGCTCTCTTTTGTTCCTTTGGGGGCACTTTTTAGGATTATATTAGATTTATTATATAATCTAGCTCTTCAGTTCTGTCAGAATTTTTAGCTTGATGTTTATCTTAATCAGTAAGCTTTCGCTGCAGTGTTTCTTATCAAAATGCACATTGATTGTGCCTTCCTGATTCTGATAATGCTTTTGAAAAATCATTCAAATCTGCATTGCAGAATGAAGAGCTCTCTGCGTAGTCAGAAGCCTACACATTGCTAGCCATGGTTTGTTTCTAAACTAAATTCACCATTGTTTTGAGACAGTTATAACCTAGTTTTCTCCGCATAGTATGAATAATACTATGCCTGATGAAAGTGTTCAGGGAAACTCAAAATCTTACTTCTTCCTTCTTGCAACCTAAACTGACCTAGTAAAAGAGATCACTTAATTTAGTTT